ACAAATACAGAAATGCTGGAAGTGCTAAGAAGCAAACATGTTTGGTGCTGGGATAAAGAACAAAGGGGAAACTCTTTTAGAAGGGGATGGTTGGGAAAGGCGTCTCTGAGGAGGTGAGATTGCAGCTGAAATCCAAAGGAAGCAAAGCCCAGGGAAGGTATTCCAGTAGGAAACAAGAGCAAGTGCAAAGGTCCTGTGGTGGGAAGGAATCTGTGCTTACGAAGAACAGAAAGAAGGTCACTGCGATTGAAACCCAGGGGGGAAGGAGAGTGTGGTATGAGATGAGGTCAGACAGAGAGGTGTGGTCCAGAGAATGCCATGCCGCATGGACCATGGACACGAGTTTGAGTTTATTCTAAGGGCCACGGGATCTGCTGAAAAGTTTGGAGCAGGACCAAAAACATTTGATTCACTCACACTGGAAGGGACATGAATGGAGGCAGGAAAACAGTGATAAGGATGCTGCAGCATTTAAGGCTCAAATCATAATTCTGCACTTATAAGCTGTATGACCTTCGGAAAGTCACTTCACCTCTCTGAGTCTTGGTCTTCATCCACAAAACTGTGATGAGAATTAAATGAGAATATACAGAGTAATAATGATCCTGTGACAAGGCCTGATATGTTCAATGTCAGGTACTCAATGAGCCAGACCCTCCTTGATCTGCTCCTGACCTCTCCTAACTCTTCCCACCTCGCCTCCCTGTCCTTCTGCCATTCCTGGAAGTAGCAAGTTATTCTAGCCTCAGGGCCTTTGCACATGCTGTTGTTATTCCTTCTGTGTGGCATGCTTTTCCCCTGATATTCCCATGGCTGCTCCTCTGTTTTATTCAGCTACTGCTCCTCAGAGAGGACCCTCTCAGCCCCCACTTGACCTTCCATTCCCTCATCCTGCTTTGATCTTCCTCAGGACCCTAGTCTCTACGCGAGCCAATGATCAGTGGGATCTGCTTTCTCTTCTGCATTAAAATGACAGCTCCCTGAGAGCAGCTGTTTTTGGCTTTTTTGTCCATGTTGTATCCTAGCACCCGGAGCTAACCCTGGTGCACAGAAAATGCTCTAGCATATGTGTTAACTGAATATTCATAATTAAAACTACCATAATGAGGACAGTAAGGCGGTTAAGAGTAAACTGAGGTTTGGATCAATTAAACTGTCACTGCCTAGGTGACGCTGGGAGGAGTCCAACTTAGCCTTGGGAAGTCTCAGTTTCCCTATCTGTAAAGTGGGGATGAAGGACCCCATGCCTTCTGGCTTGTTGGAGGATTAGACAAGAGTGCACACTGAGATGTATGTCAAAGTATTGATAACACCCAACATCTAGCCCCTCACATCCCACCCCAGCAAAGTGACGGGTGGGTGAAACAAGACCAGCAGATTGGTGTTGAAGCTGGGGTTCGTCCTCCTCATCCTGCATATGTTTGAAATTTTCCAAAATAAGGACAGGGAAGAGCTAGCACAGATTCAAAGCTCGCCCGTGTCTCGCACATAGCGCTCTGTTCCCCTCCACCACGGGCTTCCATTTCCCAAGGAGACTGTCGGCTTTGAAGAAATGGAGCACTGGAGCCAGCCCTGGCCCGGCACCACCCACGCCGGCCTCCGCCCTCCCTCCCTCCCTCCAAGCTGGAGGCTCATCGCTCACCCAGGCTTCCAATCTCCCTCCTGATCCGAGCACCTGATCTCCCTCAGCTCCTGGCGCTAATCTGCAGCCATCTAACACCCTGCGCCCCCAAATGGATGTGCCAGGAAATCTCACAGACACAAAGAGCCAATTCTGTATCACTTCCGACTTCCACCTCAGCTGTTTTGCATCTTTCTGGACTTAGGGTCTGGCGAGACACCTGGCAGGGATAATAAATCTTGCGGAGGCTCGGTCAGAGAGCCTGGCCCTGGAACGCCCGAAGTTAACAGGAAAGAAGCTTCAGCTGTGAAAATAGAGGCTTCCTTCTCCAGTGCGGGATGGAAATGTATCTTGGGAATACCCCACCTTTGCCACACACTGGTTGCCAGAACTATGAGAAGATCACCAAGATAAGAGGAGGGCAGCACCTTGAGCCTCAGTTTCTCTCCCTGTAAACAAGGTTAAGTAATGTCTAGTTAATAGCTTGGGCTTGGGGGTCAGGCAGACCTGGGTTGTCACCCTGTCACTGTGTAGCCTTGGGCAAGTTGCTCCACCTCTCTGAGCTCCTTGTCCCCATTGGTCAAAGAGATCTGATGACAGCAACCACCCAGGGTGACTCTGCCTTCCACTGAGATCACACAAGCCAAGTGCTGAGCACATTGAGGGCCGGAAACAATGGCTCCCATTATTATTACTTTCGTATTTTCCCACGGAATTCAGGATCCTGTCAGATTTCTAGCTTTAACGATGGAAACTTCCTGCACAGCCCAGTTTTTAAAAGCCTTGGCCTGGAGGACGGAGGCCTGGCGTCCCACCCAGGCCTTGCCACGGGGCTGCCGCGTGAGGCCACTGCCCCCTCCCTCCCCCAGGCTGCAGTTTTCTTGGCTGCACCACGAAGTGCTGGATGAGACACTCAGCTCCACTCTGGCTTGCCAGGTCTCAGAATCCACAGTTCCAGACCCAGGCTTCTACGGATGGAACAGAGACACCTAGAGGCAGGCGGTGCCCACAGTGCGGTGCCAGCAACAGACGTTTAATCACACTAGCCTGGGCTTCTGCTCAGCGTGTCCATCCCCCACAGCAGGAAAGCTACAGGGAGAACCCTCCAGCTGAACAACATTCGCCCATAGTCACTCGGCGGCTTTCATTCACTTTGCTGTTTTGTGAGTGCCCACTGTGTGCCAAGAGCTGTGCTAGGTGCCTTCCAAAAGTTGGACTCGATTTCCTAGCCGAGGAAATCCAAACAGAACAAAACCATAATAATTACAATGCCGGCCACTGTGTGCTGAGCTCGCTACACGCCACGCACGGCTTCAAGCATTATCACGCATTAATTGACTTAATCCCTGAACTAGAGTTGTTGACGTCATTTCTGTTTTACAGATGAGGGTGCAGACACAGAGAAGTTCAGCACATTGTCGGAGTAGGTGGCAGAGCTGAGATTCACACCCGGGGATCAGGCACCAAGCCTGTGACTTAGCACTGGGCTCTGCTGTGTCTCCACATGGAGAGGCTGAGTGATGGTTTGGCTGCAGACCCGCCATGCAAACCAGGTGTTAAACATGCACACATATGGGGACGGAACCAGGAGAAAGCCACGAGTAGCCTCAGACAGCGACAGATAAATCCTGGGGGCAGAGCTCAGCGGAGGAAGAGCTCCCCTGCTAGAGGAGGCAGCACACACTGAAGGATGAGGAGGACCTGGCCACCCGAGGATAAGGAGGTATAGGGAAGGGCACCTCTGATGGCCGGAACAGCAGAAGCGAGGGCACAGAGATCAGAGTTTAGCTGAGGATGTGGATTTATACAAAAACATTTACCAAAGTGGGTTAGGCCACATGTTAATGGGTGTTATATAAATCGAACGCCTCTTGCTCACATGTTCCTGGAACGCTGGCACAACCGGGGTCCAGCTTGGGATTCTACAACTCTGGGGCTTTCTCAGGATCTTTAAGCTGCCTGAGTAACCGGAATGCTTTGGCCTGTAGGGAGGAGGCTGGGTCATCCTGCAGCAGCTCAGCAGGTCAGCTCTTGGGAAAACAGGTGGCGGAGATAGGGCCTGCCAGGGAGGAAACCCTGGGCCCAGGCAGTTTTTAATTTTTAAAAAAAAACTTGGACCCATTTGACAGTTTTGAGCAGGGGAGTGACATGATCTGCGTTGTGTTGACAGACCAGAAATCTGAGCACATTTAAAAAGAGAGAGAGGGGGGAAAACCTTCCATCAGTCCAAGACTACAAATAAGAAAATAACCTGTCGCACGGAGCCATTGGAAGCCGCGAGCGAGTGCGTGTGGGATCCGCACACAACAGTTTTAGACTCCTTCCTCTCACACACCCCCTCTCCATCTGTTGCAAAGGGCACCAGGAAGATGCAAAGAGGAATATTCCAGCTCTGGGGGCTCCAGAGCTTGGCAGCCCGGCTGGGAGGGGCTGTTAGAGAGCCACATCCTCCATGAGTTGTCATTGGTGAGGCCAAGGGGTGTCACTGTTTCCTTCCTCAGCGCTTTCACAGGCACGGCTGTGCCTCAGTTACAAACGAGTGCCCAGAAGGACCCCTTCCTCACAGCCCCAGCCCAGAGCTTCCTAAGCCAGAGCCCCTCTCGGGCATGCCTGCTGGCTCCCACTAAGTAACCCTGATTATGTCATTGGGTGTTTCCCTTCCCAGCTACGCAGTCAGGAGGCCTGGATTCAAGGCCCAGGATCCCTCTGTCTTACTCCTTGGACAGGCAGCTTCTCCAGTTTGGGACTCTATTTTCCGCATCTGCAAAATGGAGACAGCAGCCAGCTCCTGCTTTGCTTTGCTGGTGGGTGGGATTATGCAGATAAGGGGATCAGCACACAGCAGCACACAGCGAACACCCAAAGCACACTGGCTCTCCCCGCTGCTCTCGGCACATGGTTCACATCAGGACTCCATGGTGCTGAATCACAAGGAATGAATCACGCCAGGAGTCTCCACAGGGTTGGCAAAGGGATAATTAATGGCCAGAAAGTACCCCCAGAATACCCCGACTTTAAAGGACCTGCGAACAGCTTGAGCCCACAGGGGCCCAGAGCCCACCCCACCCACCTCCTACTGCCCTGTTCTTGTGAAAGGGGAAGTGAGACAACTTCACCACTCAGGAAAGTACAGAGGAGCCACCAGCATGCTATTCTGTACTGAAGGCACAGAGATTACCAGAGAGCCCAGCTGTACCCCAAAGCCTGAACCCCAATTCAGCAAGGCTTCTTCAGGTCAGAGCAAGGCAGAATGGGAGCTCATCTGAGGTCTGCCCAGTAGGTGACCCACAGGTTTAAAGACCCAGGTGGGCCACGCCCCGAGGAGGTCACAGGTACAGTGACAGGCTCTCCTGTTGTCACAGAGCCAGGCTGCCCGGTGTCCCAAGCCTGGCACCTCGCCCTTCTCCAAGTCTCAGAATCTCTCTCAGAGAAGTTGTTCCAGGGACCAGGCATCGTCTTGGCTCTGAGAACACAGGTTGGTGACTTCACCCGCATCTTTTTAGACTTTCCCTCTGGCAGCACTTGTGCTGACAGCAATCTTTAGAAACTTCTTCCTCTTCCTCCCCCAACCAAGAAAATTCACATGGCCAGCCCCCTCCAAACAGTGATCATGTGAAGCCTCGGCGATCATGTGACACTCCCAGGCTGACAGTTCTGCCTGAGACACTAGTAGTCATTCAATCCAAAGCCGCCTTCCTAAGCCTGACATTTCAGTTTCTCACTCGAACAAATCCATTTTCTTAGAAAATTGGACAACTGCCTCCTTCTACCTTCCTACCCTTCTGTCTTGCCGCTCATCTGCTTTGTCATAAATTCCATGCCTGGAACAACTGAGGGAGGGGCCAGAAGCCTCCTCCTTGGGCCAGCCAGGTGAATCGCCTGCCACAGCCCCGAGCACCACCAGGACCCCGCAGCACACAGTGAAGGAAGCTGGGAGGCTTGAGCTACCAGGGGACACCCATGTCTTCCCCACCAGCCTCAACCAAGAGATTTATTCTTACCGCCTAAGATTTATTTATCTCAAAGTTAATCTCGGCCCCTCTGCTGCTCCCACTTTTTCAGGCTATTGATGCTGAATGGATTGGAACGGAAGTTTTATGGCCTAATCTTTAGCATTTTATAGATTGTTTTTATAAGGCAAAAGGGGGAGATTTGCTCTCTAGAAGGGTGTTGGTGTTCCTAGCCAGCGCCCCAGGAAAGGCAGGTTGCCCATCTGGACACTTGTTAATAAGCGTCACTGCTCATTTGCTAGGGACTGAGCCACAGGGTCCAGGTTGGAGAAGGGTCTGGAATAGACATTTAGAAATTAACTCGGGCCCAGTCCCATGCTTTAGGAAAATTAGGCACTTGTGAGAGATGGGTGTGCATTTGCAGGCCAGGAAGGACAGCAGGGCAGGAACTTGGACTTTTGCAGGGTATGAATGGCCAGCTCAGGCAGAAAGCAGATCTGAGATGCCACTCACCAGGGATGTGAAATATGCCAGAGCTTTCTTCTGCCAGCAAGGACCCAACTGTAACAGAAAGACCCACGGGTGGGGTGGGGTGATGCCTACGTGGATTCCCAGGGTTCAGGGGAAACTGCAGGGCAAAGAAGCTGCTGTCCACCCCCACTTCTCCCTCCTCCTACTCTTTGCTAGTTCTCCTTTTTTCCTGCTATCAGATGGTTACCAGTCTCTAGGCAAATGCTGGGGGGGGGGGGAGGGAAATACTGAGCTCATCTTTACCTCTCTCCTCAAGGGAGGGAGGTGTAGCAAGCCCTCTGCTGACAACACAGCTTCAAGTAGCCAAAAAACAAGCTCCCCATTCTTCAACCCCACCCAAACCCCTTTAATGCTGGTTCTCTGGCCTCCCAACCCTCTCAGGAGACCCACGGTTTTGCAAAACCCCTTTAAGAGGCTGGACTCCTGAATGGTGACCTCACCCCTTGGCGAACACACGATCCCCCACAGAGCCCACCTGCTGGAGACACCCAGGTGTTTGATGTAGGCCAACAAAAAGACATGATCAGAGCCACAGGTAACAGTCCCTCGGAACACCTGAACTGCAGGGAGCAGCCTCGAAGGCTGGGGGAGGCAGGAAGTGGGGAGAGAGCCTGAAGATCAGCAAAGACCATCCTGCAAGGCGCTTCGGCAACCACAGGGAATACCAGGGGGACAATCCATGGTGTTTTTACATCAGGATCTGTTGATTCCAGCAGCTCACCCCAGGGTTACCAAGGCTCCCTTCCCCTCTCTATCCGCCCCCCCACACACACACTAACACTGTTTGTGCACACCAGAGGGAGAGCTCGCTCTTCCCTAATTGCAACAGCCTGCTTCTGTTCCATCCCAGGCAGTACCCAGAGGACCTCTGCCCCCACAGCCTTCCTTCCCACCCTGAGATCAAGCCTGCCTAAGTCCAGAAAAAGCATCCGGAGAAGCCGGGGGCACCTTGCTCTGAGAGCCTGCTCCCCGTCAGACTGGCAGGGGCTGGGCGAAGTAACTCACCTCCGCCAGTCCCAGTGCCCAGCACGGTGCCTCCCACCTAGAGTCCGCAGAGACTCGGCTCTACCTCGGGCTGTGTGACCTTGGGCAAGTCACTGGCCATCTCTGGGCCTCAGTTTCTGATCTGTAGCCGCGTCTGTCAGAGGCGGCTTCCAGACCCCTCTCCCCCGCCGCGGCGCGCAGTCGCTGGGCGGCCGCCGGGGCAGTCCGCGAGGCCGGAGCCCGCCGTCCGGGGGCCGCGGCGAGGCGGCCGGGGGCGCTTACCTGTCCAGGCGCAGGACGCGGCGAGCAGCAGGCAGAGCAGCGGCCCGAGGCGGCCGGGGGCCGGGCCGGCGGGCTCCATGGGCCGCGGCTGCGGAGCAAGGAGGAGAGCGGCGGTGAGTGCGCGCTCGGGCGGGCGCGGGCTGGAGCGGGGAAATGACTAAGACTCCCCCCTCCGCTCCCCCTCCCGGCCGGGCTTCCCCCACCCCCCGAACCCGCGCCCGGGCGCGCCGTCAGCGCCGCGGTCTTCGGAGAAGCCCTCGCCCCCCCCCCCCCAGGCCGGGAGACGGAGGGGGAGACCCCGCGCGCGCGGGAAAGAACGCCAGGCCGGCCCGCGGGAGGCGGCGGGAGAGGGAAACAGACCCGAGGGAGCCAGGCAGAGAGCCAGGGGCGCGGAGAGGCGCGGAGAGGCGCGGAGAGGCGGGGGGAGAGGCGCGGAGAGGCGGGGGGAGAGGGCGCGGGGGGGGGGAGAGGCGGGGGGGGAGAGGCGCGGGGGGGAGAGGCAGGGAGCGCGAGCGGCGCAGCCCAGACAGGCGGAGCGGAGGGGCGCGCGCCGCGGGCAGGGCGAGGGGCCGCGCGGCCGAGCCGCCCCCGCCGCTGCCCACCTGCCCCGCCCGGGCTCCTCGCAGCGCCGGCGGCTCGGCTCGCTCCGGCCCGCAGTCCCGCCGCTGCCCCCGCCCTCCCGGCAGCCCGGCCCCCTCCCTCCGCCCGCCTCCCCCTCCTCCGCCCGCCCGCGAGCGGCGGGGCTCCGGCCCGCCGGCACCTCCTCGCCGAGCGCCCGCCGGCTGCGCGCCCGCCGGGCCGGGGAGGGCAGCGTCGCCCCCCGGCCCGCGCCGCGGCCCCGGCACCCCGCCCGGGCCGGCGGCCGCTGCCCGCAGCTGCCCGGCGAGCCCCCGCCCGCGCGCCCCGCTCGCGCTCGGGACCGGACGGGCCTCCGGCTCCAGCGGCGTGTCGGCTCCCGGCCCGAGACGGCCCCCGCGCCCCCCGCGCCCCCCGCGCCCGCCGCGCCCGCCGCGCCCGGACCTGCGCCGCCCGCGAGCGCGGCCAGGCGGTGGAAGCGCCGCCGGGGTGCCCAGAGCCGGGCCCCCGCAGCACTTTGCGCAAACTTGTTTTTCTAAGGTCAGCGCCGCGAGCCGGCTGCACCGGCCTCTTAAGGTGGACTGGGGAAGTTGCGGCCGCCCCCCGGGCCCCCCGACTCCGCTGCGGTCGGGCGCAGCTTTCCGCCGCCGGAGGCCGGAGGCCGAGGCGCGGGGGCTGGAATGTGGGGGAGTGGAGGGGAGGGGAGGGGAGGGGAGGGCGGGGCGGGGGTCTGGATGTTGCCCCTCCCCAAGCGGCCCTGCCCCTGTGCCCCAAAGCTGAAGGCCCCCGGTGGGGGGGTTGGGGAGCGCTGGGGGGGTTGGGGTGGGGTGGGCGCGGGTCACCGAACCCTGATTTTTCCAGCGCTGGACGGAGGTGAAGGAAGAGCAGGAAGTAAGTGAATGTAGGGAAGGGGAGAGCGGTGGGACCAAAATAGCGTGTGTGTAGGAAGGACTTCGGCACTGCCTGGAAAAGAGGCGCGGTGGGGGGAGAGCCAGGGAGAAGGGGGGCTGTGGCCAGGGAAACCGAGAGGAAGGGTCCAGGCCTCCCTGGGGAGGTGGGCGCGCTGCCAGGGGCCTCTCTGTCAGGAACAGTCCAGGCGAGGCTGTGGTTGCCACAGGGGGTGCTGGAAGGGAAAATGACAGGCAGCCAGGAGCAGAAGATAAGGCAACAGGGGAGAGCAGGGGCAGGAGGCCTGGAGTCCCGGAGGACGGAGCCTCCTAGCAAAGAAAAGCTCTCTCTTTCTCTCTCTCTCTCTCTCTCTCTCTCTCTCTCTCTCTCTCTCTCTCTCTCTCTCTCTCTCTGCCTCTCTCATTTTTCTTGCCGGAAAGCCATGTTCTCAGTATCAGCCAGGTCAGTGATTTGGAATGGGACTGCTGGTCACCTGACAAAAGAAGACTCCAGACTGTTAGAGGGAAAGACGTCCAAGACCCTCTACTGTTTGGAGGGTTTGGAACTTGGAAATAAACTATAACCAATTTCCCACCTCTTGACAAAGAGAATCTGAATGAAGTCAGGTAGGAGGGCCAGCCTGTAAATGGAGAGCGATTGGCAGCCCAGAGAAGAAGTGACTTATTTAAGGTCACACAGCAAAGCCTGGTGTAGAAACCAGGTTTAAATTCCTGGTTCTCAGGCTAAAGACGATTACAAAGTGACACCACCCAGCCCCTCCCAGCCCCTCCCAGCCTCTGGGTCAAATGACTAGTCCTGGCACCAAGTGCAGCTGTTGGGAGCATGGACCAGACTTCCTGGCTCAAGTCCCGTTTGCCACCTTTTATGATCTGTACAGAGTTGAGAGAATACCTTATCATTTCTGTGCCTCAGCTTCTTCCTCTGAAATGAAGACAACATGAATATCATCCTAAAAAGACTGGTGTAAGGATTAGATGAATTAATATTTGTTCGGCACTTAAAAAAAAATGCCTAGCATGTACCAAGTGCTACATAAGCATTTGAGAAATAAGTAAAGCATTTGACAGTAGTCCTGGGCACCCATAGGGTTCTGAGCATCAGGAATTTTCATTCCTTCGGGTTTGGGAGATATAGCAGTGACCCACACCAGGTCGCTGTCCATGAGGAATTTACATTCCAGTGGGGAGACAGATACGCAGACAAGTAGAAATAATTAATGAACAACAGAAGATTGAGTTCAGAGAGTGAGAAGGGTGAGCTCATTTAGATAAGGGTAAAACCTCCCTGAGAAATCAGGAACTGAATCATAAGGAGGGGCAGCAAGAGAAGGTTTTGGAGATTTGCTGTCAGGAAGAAGGAGAAGCACATATAAAGGTCCTGGGGCCAGGCTGGCTGGAGGGAATGGGTGAAGGATAGGGAGAGTGGTCCAGTTGGGTGGCCCGGCATCTGGTAAAAGGCCTGCATTTATTCTGCAGATGGGAAAACACTGGAGGGTTTTAAACAAGGAAACACCATATTCTGATGTATGTGTTTAAAATACCACCTTCGCTGCTAGTGGAGAGGGAGCCGGAAGGGAGCATGAAATCAGGATCCCAGTGAGGAAGATGTTTTGAGGTCCTCTTGTAATGGGGCAGGGAATGGAATGTGAGGAGTCTCCAACTTTTCAGGGTTCATCTGGCTAAGATCATAGACATACCAGCTTAGTTGTGGCTCCTGGGAAACTTCATCACCTGAATCCGTCTGGGTGGGAGAAGAGGGCAGGGCTGCTCATGAAGGTCAGAGGCAGGCAGCCTCCTGGCCTGTGCTTCCAGAAGGCTTTGCCATTCACGTTCCCCAGAACACACACACAGCCTGCCCGGGATTAGGAAACTGCGGATTAGGGGAGGATAATAATTGTACCACCTGCTATTTATATATAGCAAAGGCAAAGGCACCCAGGAGGGCCTCCAACCCAGGGGCTCTTTTCATCCTCACCTCCGCCCCAGGAGGAGGCCCTGCACCTCATTCTCCTTGTCAGCACCCACATAAAAGATCACCCTTGGCCTGCCATCAAGGCTGGGAATTTGTTGAGACCAGTGGGCACCTGAGTATACTGAGGTTAGAGGACAATTTGCCTGAGGTCACACTGACAAACTATGGCAGATAATTGAGGTGAATCAGCCACCGCCATAGTCGGTGTCCTGGGCTGCCCCTGGATTAAAATCAAATTACCTTCATATACTTCCCATTCATTCACGCGCTTGGCAATGCTTATGAGGTGTCTTCTATATGCCAGGCGGGGAATGCAGCAGGTGGGGAAAAGACAAAAAACCTGCCCCTAAGCAGCTGACATTCTAGTGGGGCAAACAAATAAATCAGCATGGAAAATATTTATTCTGTCTATGGGGATCAGATGATAGGGAAATCTGGGAGATGGGAAACCAGAGGCACCCGCATCCCTGCATTACTTCCTGAGGATGTCCAGTCAGCAAATTCCACAGCTTCACCTTCCTGTCCCGGCCAGAACGAAAAACCCCTTTTCTGCTGCCACTTTTGCGAGGCCCAGTCCAAGACTCACCATCGCCCACCGAGCACCCGCTTGCCACCCTGTTCCCTGCTTCCCCATCTGTGCTCCACGCTGCAGCCAGAGGTCTTCTTTCCTGGAAGTCAGACGATGTCCCTCCACTGCTGCCCACTGGCAAACAGTCTTGTATGAGCACATCAGGAAGCCACAACTCTGCTAATTTGACTTTTGTGGCGTGGGGGAAAATTTTATGAGCCTCAGTCTCTTCATCTGTGAAACAGAAATACAGGGCTAGTGGGGGATCCCATGTGAGCGCAGCCTGGTGGGAGAGGCCTGGAGCTCCTCTGCGGTGGGGAGATGGCGCCCCTCTGTGGACCAGGCCTTTGGTCTGCCCAGGGTCACTGAAGCCTCAGGCAGCTTTGCTGTGTTCTCGGAGGTAAGGAAATGTCCAGAGGCAGAAAGCCACCGCCCAGGGTCACTCGGCCCAGGGTCACTCTGCCGGGAGAGACTTCCTGGAACCCAGCTGCAGGGGCCCGCTCTGCTGGCACCAGCCTGCCTGGCTCGGCTCTTACCATAGCCCCGGCTGGCGACGGCAGACAGGCTGGCCAGGCTGCCTTTGTGTGGCCCAGCCTGTCAGGAGGCTGGACCTGCCAACGACCTATTTTTCTGGGCAAGAATGGCCTTTTAGAGTTAGAGACCTCAGCTGTGGAGCCAGAATAACAAAAATAAAAACAGCAAAGGCTCCTAGGCATCAGGACCGGGGAAGGAATTGCCCCTGAGGGGAGCAACTGGCAGGCTGGAGAGGACCACAGCAGTGCCCGGGACCACAGCAAGGAACTGAACTGGCTAGGATTGGAACTCAGATCACAAAAAAATAACAATTCCCCTTTGTTCAGCTATTAGGCTATACTGGCCTGTTCTTGAGGCAAGTTCATACATACCTGGGAGGCAGGGACTTGCAATCCTCTCATTTTGTGCCTGAGAAAGCTATCTCAGAGAGGTCTCCACTCACAGATCCCCTCCTCAGAGAGGCCTTGCCAGACCATCCCATTAAAATATCTCCTCCTCACAATGCACTTTGTCCCCTTTATTTGCTACTTTATTTTGCCTTCATAGCTTGCATCACAACCTGCCAGCTGTACCTCTTTGTTGCATTCTGTCCACCTCCTTAACCAGCCACAGGTCATGCAGCCTGGGTCCAGTGTCTGGTTGGACACCGGAAGCACATCCTATGGCTCAAACCCCAGCGCTGCCTCAAACTTGCCATGGGGCAGGTTGCTTTACCCCTTTGTGCCTTACCTGCCCAGGGCTTGATAGAACGATGACTAAGGTTTCTTATAAAGGTTAAATGAGCTCGTCTAAGAAAAGTCGTCGGCTACTGTCACTGCTACTAGCACTGCAGCCCTAGAGACTTCAACAATAAACAGCAGGTTGTCAATAAATATGTATTCAACTTCAAAAGGGACTTGCCCCCTATCATATAGTAAGAAATCTGCAGAGCCTGGATTTGAAAGTAGGTCTCTCTGAAACTGTGCTTCAGTACAGCCTACTTTATAATCACCTCTCCACCACCCCCTTCCCCTTCTACTGTGTTTGCACGGAATCAGAGCTGTGGTTCTACAATCAAGCAGGCAACAGCATCACCAGATGGCTGGGCCACACCCCCCGTTACTAATTTAGTAGGTCTCAGGTAAGACCGGAGAATTTCTAAGATGGTCCCAAGGGTTGCTGGTCCTGGGACCACACTTTGAGAACCACCACATCAGCTCGTGGGAATGGTTCATGAGCCCAGCCCCAGCTTCCTTTCTGTATTCCTCTGTTCTTCTGTCTTCATCCCACCGCCCCCCCTCTGTCCTTCCAGGCAAAGGCAGGGGGGTGACAGCGTTGGTTCAGCGATGCAGCCAGTGCCCCAAGCTGAGGGACTGTGACAGATCCCAGAGCTAGGGCCTAGGGGAACTAGGCCGTAATTAGTGCTTTCCTGGGGAAGTCAGTGACTAAGTGACTCCGCAAGCAAGCAGGCAGGCAGGCGGCTCGCCGAGCTCGTCAGGGGTGGGACTGCACTGTCAAGACCCTAAACACTGTTCTCAGACTCCAGGGATCTGGTTCTGAGCAAACTGAGCCCAGCTGTGCAGAGCTGAGCCTCCCCACCCCAGGGTGGCGGTCCCTCCTTGGGACAAGGGCTGGTGTCTAGATGGGAGCTGATGGCCTCAGCTTCCGTTGGGAGACCCGAGTTCAAGTGCCGACTCTGCTGGCTAATAATCCACTTCACAGCTCAAACATCGGCGTGCTTGCCAAGGCCCAGGCCTGAAGGATTTCAGTACATCTCCTCATGCTCCTCACACTGATGCTCTTACGTGTACGTAATTCTTATCCCCATTTCACAGGTGAGAAAACTGAAGCACAGAGGGGTGAAGCGGCTTGTGCAAGAGCACACAGCATGAGCTGCAGAGGTAGGCTGTGAATCCAGGAATCCTCACTCCCTCCTCCACACCCAACCTCTGTACCATCTTATCTGACTTTTGCTCTGCTATGGGGGAGGAAGGGCAGGGGGAGGGGACCCACAGTGGCCCTTCTGGATCTCCCTTTCCTTCAAGGGGCTGGCTCCATGATTTCCAGACCCCTCAGTGGTGCCAGCACTGGGCCTGTTGTTAGCACATTATAGGAACTCCTGTGTCTGCTGCCTGAAATTGTGAATGAACAGGCATTGCTGTATCCGGCTGTGATGGGATAATGGGGCTGTAACCAACTCCAGGAACTGCCCCTCACTGGCTGTGTGATCTGTCCTGGGGGCCAGCCTGAGTTTCCTCATCTGAGAACAGATTGAGAACAGGATTAATGGGTACAAAGATCAGGGGAGTCAGAGAGAGAAAGAGCAAGAGGGGGAGAGAGAGAGAGAGAGGATCAGCCAAGGGCACCTAGGACCCTTGTTTGGCCCCTGCCTCTGCCCCATCCTCTCCAACTCGGTTCCACCATGTGTTGCTCAGGCCAATACCTTGATGTTCTCCCTGACCCCTCGTCCCTTCCTCCCCACTCACAATCCTGCCATTCACTCTTCTTGGCGCTTCTTTTAAGTAAGTCCCAAATCTGATCAATCCTTGTCAGTTGAATCACCCTTGGGCGCCCCCGCCCATCTCTCCTGTGGACTAGTGCAGCACCTTCTCACAGTATCCTGTTTCCTTGCTGGACTCCCCATCTTGTCCCCGCCTCAGTCAAAACCTCCCACAAGCCCACCCTATCCCCTTGGAATAAACCCAAAGTTCTCAATGTGGGCCATGAGTCCCCTTTTTTTATCTCACCCACTCCGTCCCCTGACCTTTACTCCTCCTGACTCACTCCACTCCAGCCATACTTACCTTCTCTACGTTCCTTGAACACGCCCAGCAGGTGCCTACCTCAGGGCCTTTGCTCTTGCTGATCCTCGTGCTTGGAGCCCTCAACCCCCAGCTCGCTGTCTAGCTTGCTTATCTTCTTCTTTGGGTCTCTGCCCAAAGGTCCCCTCCTCAGAGAAGCCTGTCCTGACCCCGCTGTCTCAAAGTGCCTGTCATTTATTACCCTTTTACCCTACTTTATTTTTCTCGATAACATCTAAATATGATATGCTATTAGTTCTTAGTTGCTGTGGCTTTCCCCACTCATATTTGAGCTTCATGCAAGGTCTTTGTTTTTGTTCTCCAGCACCTGGAGCTGGGCCTCCATGAATGGCTGTTGACAGAGTGAGAGAAGGAGCTGAGCAGGTAGTGTTATAGGGCAGCCCCAATATAAAATGGGTTGCCTGACTGTGGGTCCTCACCTGTGCGCTTAAAAGGGACTTAATACTCCTCTGCAGGCGCACACGAAAGGTTAATAAAAGGTTTATTTACAAGGGAAGGGGAAATGAGGAAATGTACAACTCAGGGAGAAAAGAGGGAGATAAAGTCTTAAATGCGTCCTACCCGATCCGCCGACCTGGAATCCCAATGGCACTGAGAGCTGGCGGCGAGCCACGAGCCGTGAAGCCAAGAGCGAGCCCCCCCAAGGCCCATGTGTCTGGTTTTATACCAAACGCGGCTGCTTAACTCCACCCTCAGGTCCCAGCAACCCTCCCTTTGGTGGTGACGGGATTTGTCTTTCCCAATGTCTTGATGGCTTTGGTCTGGAGTGGGGGTGGGGTCCACAAAGCCTGCATGGGATTAGCTCAGGACATCCTTTCCCCCTAACAGGAGGAGTCGGCTACAGCGCAGCTGCAGCTCAGCCAGGGTGCAGGCCTCAGTGCCCCCAGCCCCGCTTTGCCTGGTTCCTCGAGGAACAGATGTCCTCACTGAACCTGGGTTTCCTTCCCAGGCAGGGAGGCCAGGAATCCAGTTGGCCTCATTCCTGCTCCTGAGAGGAAGTATCTGTCCTGGTCAGGAACCGGGCTGGCTCTCAGAGAAAGCTGAAGCCACACACACCACTTTCTCTCACCCTAGCTTCTGAGGAACCAACACTGTGGCCTCAGCAGCGGGTGGCCTTGCCTGCCACCACACTGCTGCCACTGGAACTAGGAGGATGGTAGGGTGGGAGGCCCCCAGAACTCATTTACAGAGCTCTCTGGCCAGTCACCTCCTGGGAGCCTCACAGTCACACTGTGTGAAGGCTGAGCTTGGAGGCTGACCTCCCCTGGCTCAAGTCTGTCCCCCCATTTGTATTGATGAGCAACAGAACCTGCCTGGGTGACATACTGGGTCAGGTGATAGACACAGATCTTTTGATACCAAATCCCTTTGGGCTTGAGGAGAACCATATACGTGAGACCCTGTTTCAAGCCTAAATCCTTTGAGGGTGTCACTGGAGGCTCTTGACAAGTTTTGCAGCCCTTTTCACTCAGTCCTAGAGCCTCAACCTTGTGACTATTGCCTATAAGAACCTCAATGGCTTCCTCTCCCCCAGGCAAAGCAAGCCCCACCCCTTCCTTGCCCAAGGGTGGGTGTGGGGAGCATCAGGGTAGAGGCGCTGGGGAGCCCACAGCTTTGGGCCCAGATTTCAGCCCTGCCAACTGCAGGTGGCGTGACTTTGGGTAAGAGACTTTGCATTTCTCTGCTTCAGATTCTCATCTGTAAAAAGGAAAAAACATGACAGCTTCTTTACAGGGCTATTTTGAAGATTCGAAAAAAATAATATATATCAAAAATCTGGCACACAGGAGGCACTCCATAAACGTTACACCACTCTCCCTCCAATTCCACCTGTCCTTTAAGGTTGTGATCTATGTATTTTCATTACATTATTTCAAGTTTTTCTGTTTTTGTGTCCATTCTATGAAGTCCATCATGTATTAGTCCAAAAGTATATAATACATTCATAAACCAACAAACACACATGGGAGGGAACACATCTTTTTACTGATAGGGGAAGGAGTAAACATTTTTTGAAGCCCAGAAAAAATGGATAAAAATAGAGAATATTAGGGCTGGAAGGGATTGTCAAGGCTTTCAATTCCCCCAGCACTCCAGCTCCCATCTGATGCACCAATCTCTCTGTTGCTCTAGATTGCCTCTAGCCACAGGGGGCTCACTACCTTTTTGGACAATCCATTTTGTACAGCTCTGCATTTTCCTGAACTCAGTGCCCACCTGTGCCCTAGGTGCTTGTGAGTTCCACAGCCTCACTGAACTGTTCCCTCCCACTCCACTGCACCACAGTTCTGGGCTTGTCCAAGAGCCCAGAGCCAGGCTGTGTGCACAGCAGGGCTCCAGTAATGTCCCAGGAATGAGTGTGTGTGGAGGGGAGAGGGAGGAAGAAGAATGAGGGAACGGGAAGGGGAACTTGCTGCTAATTCTCATCTGGAGGGTGCACTCTGCCATGACCCCACTGGGAGTGGTGCTCTATGTATTTATTTGGGACTGTTTATATGTTTATGTCTGTATGTGTGTGTCCGCGTGGCCACTGCTGTGTGGCTGTGTCTGGAGGGATGTGCATTTGTGTGTTTGCATGCATGTTTGGATGTTTTGCACTCAAATACCGGTGTGTGCTGTGCATATCTTTTTCTGTGTCTTTGCACGCTTATGTGTTCAGGGTGCATCAATGTGGGGTGGTGTGTCTGCCTCTGTCTGGTCTGTTTGCGTGTGTGAGTGTGCACATGTGTGAGTGTGCAGTCTGCAGATATCCACATGTGGTGTGCAGGTCTCTCTGTGTGTCTGCCTGCCTGGGGCTCTTCTTTGTGTGTTTCACTGTGTGTCTGCGTGATTGTGTCTCCCCTCCTCTGCTCAGCCCTTTCAGAGAGCCTGGGGTGACTCCCTGCCGCCTAGTCGACTGAAGGTCTTCTGAGTGGCAGGCAGCAAGGGTTCCACACCCCTCCTCTCCTGCTCGGCTGTGCTAATCACTGGGTTATATGCAGATGGCAAATGTGCGGCTGCCAGGCTGGGAGGAGGGACTGTGGAGGGGGGTGTGCAGATGAGCAGACTCCGAGGAGCAAGAAGACAATTTAAAGGCAGAAAGGGGAAAAACAAGCCTGCTGGTTTTGGAGTTAGGGTGTGGGGTTCTCTCCAGAGGCATGCATTTTATTAAGAGGATGTGATGGCTGTGGTGTTTTCCTTCCTCTAATCAAGCTAGAGTCTTAGATTACAGGATTCTTAGAGTCTTAGAATTTTAGATTATAGAATTCTAGAATCTTAGCCTCATGCAACTCTAAACACTAAGAGCCGAATCCAAGGACTCTAATCCTCCTGGGGTCTCAGCATCTTCAAGCAATTCTTCTCTTCTACTTCCTCATCTTGCCTTCCTTTGTAGAGAATCATGGCCAGGAAGTGACCTTGCAAGTTCATCTAGTTCACCCCTTGACTCAGGCAGGGCAGAGGAAAGAGAGAGGGCCCAGGTAGCCAGGACCTTCTTGGAGATGTTGAATTGGAGTCTTCCCTTGGCGGAGACTACCTCCTGGATGGCCCGGATGCCCACGTTACCCCTGCCACCTTCTGCAGACTGCATTCCTATCAAAGACAAAGGTGCTGTGTTCCCAGGATTGGTTTTCAGTCATTCATGAGCTGGTATAATAGGCTACAGGTGGGGAGAGCCAAGGGGTGGCTCCTCTGAGATCCTTGCTGGTGGAGGCTCAGTAACCCAACCTGGAGTGGGGCAGATGGCTTACCAGGCAGCCCCATTCCCCAGGATGTCTCCTTCCTCATTGCTTTCAGGGCAGCGACCAGGCTTTTATCTCAAGGATCCTGGGAGCCATGGACTGTTGGTGAGGGAGGCCTCTCCACTGTATTTTGGACTTTCTCCAGGACTCACTCAAGTGCTTCACAGTGGCAACTTTTCAGGCCCCAGCTGTTAGGCATTCCATCACTCCCTCCATATGTGTCTAGCCACACCAAACTCTGTACATGACTTAAATCTATTTTACTTCATGCCTCTAAATCTTTGCATGGATTCTTTCCTCTCTGCCTCTTCTTCATTGTGCAAACTTTTATTCATCTCTGGAATGCAAGCTCCTGCTCAATTGTGACTGCCATGGGACAAAGAGTTTTACTTGTTTAATGCTTTATTTTTCAGAACCTACAACAAAGTTTGGCACACAGTAGCTATTCAATAAATGTTTGTTGAATGACTAATAGATTGATCGTATCCTTCAGATTCAGTTCATTTCCCCTCTGATGTCCTTATTCTCTACCCCCTTACAGATGTTTCCCTAGAATGCATACTACCTCTAGGATTACCTGCAAACCAGAATTTACCACCTAGGGCCATAATTTTTGCTCCTCTGTCTTTCTTCTTTACCAAACAGGAAACCCCTTGAAGCTGGGACCAGATCTGGTCAATTTTTCTACCTACAGCATCCAGTTCAGAGCCTGGCAACCAGCAGGTGCCCAGTAAACACAGGGCACTTGTCAGCAGCTCAGCTTGGTGACTTGAAATCCCCTGCTGGCCCCAACTGCAAGTGCTGGTCCAAGCTGTTGGCAACATCTGCTTCAAAGTCTCATTTGCAATTATACGTTCCCAGATTCTTGCCATTTAATATTTAATAACCAGGCGGCTGGCCTTCTCTGGCAGCCACTTAAGCCCCTGATTACCTCTTATTTGAACTTGGCCCTGAGTGAGGCAGGGACCACAGTGAGGTTAAATATGAAGTCGGTATCCTGAGTCTGGGGCCAGCAAAAGGCCGGAGCCTCAGGGACAGGAGGCAGGAGTGCCCCATGGCCTGACATTCCTGGATGCCCTTAGCAGGCAAGTCAGGTTGGACAGGTCAGGCTTCATCTGGCTCCACCTCTTCTCCGTGCCATGTACGGCTGTGCCCGATCATGCCCTCATGGGCCAGGGAGGAGAAGAGAGGAAAAAATGTCAATGGGACCTTCCCTGACTCATATCCGAGCTGGGGGAAGAGGAAGAAAGGGGGATTCCACCGGGGCTGTGTGCCAGCAGGAAAGGTGGGTCATCCTCTGTGACTTGAGTCCCCGGAGCCAGGGCCACTCCACATCGGGGTCCGTGGCACCATGGAGTAGGAGCTGGCAGCCATGCCTGCCTATTCTGGCATTGGATTGGGGAGTCCTTCCAAGTCAGCTGTGGAAGGAGGTGAGGGAATGGTAATGACCCAACCCTTGGGGTTGCCCAGAGCTGCTGCCCAACACTGGGAACTCCTCAGGCCAGGGCATCTGGATCTGTTCTGCAGGCTAACCTCTGCAGGACTCCTGCGGGAGAGGCTGGGGAGGGGCCAGGGCATCAGTCCTGGGAAGGGTCAGGAAAGGCCAGGGCACTGAGGTTGGACTATTGGCTGGGCTAAAATCTC